TTCTTTTTCGGATGGCAGGTGTTTTGCCTGTCCTACGCTCTTTTGGTGGTTGGACACGGAGCTTCAGGTGCTTGCCTTTCGGGAGACCAGACGGATATGCGGGAGGGCAGCAGGGACTAAATTTTAGGACATTTAAAATCTCTCGCCTGCAGACAGATATGGAGGTAAGGGATAGGGTGCGAGAGTGGATAGCCGCGTGTCCTCCAGGAAAAGGACCAATGGAGGGTGTACAAACCAAATAAACCAATACAGGAACTTCCCCTGGATCCAAATCAATGGGTATGGACTCTTCAATACGGCAGGGGAAGATCTGGGGAAAGGCGCCTGCATACCCTCTCGGTTAAGGCCACTTACCGGATGCTGCGACCAAGAGTTAACTTGCGGGACGTGGTTGAGTCGCGTTGGATGAAACATCTTAACATAGGGAGGGAAATGCTGCGGCCTGTAAAGTGGTTTAAGGCAAATACGGCTATGCCAACAAAACTTGCCTCACTTCAACGGCAGGTGGAACACAGGTGCCTACCGATTACCGACTGGCTAATAGACAGAACACACCTGGAACAAAAAGGGCTAGCGCTCCCCTGGTGCAGGCTATGTACAGATTCTACAGAATCATTTCTGTCTGGTGGCCCGAGACCATAGAACACATATTTCTGCAGTGCCCGACAGCGAAATGGCTGTGGAGGTGGTGGGACCGCATCTGGAGACAAACGGGCGCCTCACAACCCTGGCCATGGAACTGGAGGGCTCTCCTCTGTGAAGAATGGGCCCCGGCGCAAGTAACAGCCTTTGAGGAGAACATGTTCGAAGTGGGGCGCCGAGCCATTATCTGGGGTATCTGGTGGTGTCGGTGCACACTGGAAATGGATGGGGTTCGCCGGGACGGCACACAGTTTATCAACTCAATAAAGGAACAAATACAAGAAGACATCGTTATCCAATGGGAAAAAGAACAGAAGATTAGCTTTTGTACATTCTAAACAAGAAATCAGACAAATCATTGGAAGCTTCTGCAAAGACTGGCTGGGCGGGGAACAAGGGGGTTGGATCGCAAAGATTGTGTGGAAAGGAAGGGAGAGCGGGGGGGGATGAAGTAGGAGATGGAGAAAGACTACATCGCATGTTTTTTTTGAGAGGTGGGTAGCCCCTCTGAACAAATCAATCATTACTGTGTGGGATGAGGCCCCAGGAAGGAATCACTGGATGGGCCTTGGCCTCTGGAATGACTGAAATAACTGGCTTCTTTCATTCTTGTGTATGCCTTTTGGTGATAATTTATTTGGTTACGCCACTCTTTCTTGCTAGCAGTGCCCTTTGGCTCCCCTTAGTAACTGGGGAAGTGAAGAATATCAAAATAACTACCGGCGTGGCCACATGGAACGTAAGAGGGGTATCTGGTCCAACTCTGAGAACCAAATAGCGTGAAAGGCATGAGCTGGTAACCCGAAAGGGGGTGGATGTGTTGTTCCTGCAAGGAACTAAAATAGCTAAACCGGGAACGGCAGACCGTATCGTCTGGTGGAAGAGATGGCAGGTCTGGGCAGCAGCGGATGGGTTGAAAGGAGGGGTTGGGATCCTGTTTGCACCAAGGTTGGGAACAACGGACCCGTTGACTGCTTCTGAGGTAGGTGGGCATGGGTGGTGGTAGATTACTGCGGGAAGGGGTGGGTCTTGGTAAATGTCTACGTCCCCACTGACAGGGTTGACCGAAAGTGGTTCTGGCGTTCACTTCCGACCATTTGCCCACAGGTCACAAAAATTGCTCTCCTTCCCAAGGCGGCGTCGGACCATGCTGCAATAATAATGAACATAGCAGCTCCTCCGCGGGTGCGCCTCAACCGCTCGCTGGCAGCCTTAACTGCATGGGTGTTCACAGAAGGCCTGTCGAACGCATTAGCGGAGCAGGTGGCCATGGGTGGTGGTAGATTACTGCGGGGAGATCAGGTCTGGGTAATCGTTCTGGTTAGCGGACCCGGTTGACTAATAAACGTCTACACACCCACTGACAGGGTTGACCGAAAGTCGTTCTGGTGTTCACTCCAACCATTTGCCCACAGGCGAGTACAGTTATTGTCGAAGGGATCGATTCCAAACAGGCGAGACCGAATCCAGGCCTGGTCCTTTTATATTGAAGTCCAGGACCGGTCCCCTTCGACAATAACTGTACTCGCCTGTGGGCAAATGGTCGGAAGCGAACCCAGCAGGCCGTACTTTTACCTGGACAGGATCAATTCCGACCAGGCGCAGTCAGCTGGACATGTTCTAGATGGTCCAGGACACTATAGGTGTTACATGCTGCGCCTGCACACGCAGGCCATTTTCCAGGCCCTGAGCCCTTCAGCCAAAAAGCCTAGAATTCAGCCTGAAAACAGGGGCCTACAGTCCCTGTGTCGTTTCAAACTAAAAATGGCAAGAGCCTTTTTAGCCTGAAACAAAGGGCTATTTTCGGTCGTTCACCAGAACGACCGGCCCTGAAACTCAGGCACCAAACCAGGGTTTCGGGAACAGGCTATTCTTAGCCTGTATCCACGCCAGCCTCAGCAGATGCTGCAGCACCAGCCCCTGGCACACTTCGGCATTGGCAAGAGCAGCCTCCTCGGCCTGGCTGGCCCTTCAGGCAGTCAGGAGGCAGGCCGTGGATTGGCAAGAGCAGCCTCCTCGGCCTGGCTG